TGCTGCTGCTGTTGCTGCTGCTGCTGGTGGTGGTAGCCTTATTGTGCAGTGTTTGCTGGCTTTATTTTCTCAGCAGCAGCAGCATTTTTAAATTTGTTTAATCATTTATTCTTCAGGTCTTCTTCTGCTGCAGCAGCAGCTGCTGCTGCTGCTGAGTTGTACAGACACCCGGCAGCAGCTGGGGCCCCCCAAAGTATTTTTTTTGTTTGTTTGTTTGTTCATTGCATGCAGCTGCAGCGCTCGATTAATATTATAAAAAGAAATTTAAATTAATTCTTTTATGATGTTAATAACGCTGTAGCTTCATTGCGTAGAGCTGCTGCAGAGGTTTGCTGCCGCGCAACATCGACGGTCTTGCTGCTGCTGCTGCTGCTGTTGCTGCTGCTGCTAGTAACAACAACAGCAGCAGCAGCAGCACAGTTAGCGGCAGTGGCAGCAGGAGCAGCGGGAAGATGACTGCGAGGAGCAGCAGCAAACGACGGGGACTGCCTGCTGCTGCTGCAGCTGAAGGCGAAGCAACCGACGGAGCAGCAGCAGCAGCAGCAGCAACAGCAGCAGCAACAGCAGCAGCAGCAGGAGAAGAAGGAGAATTTAGTGGCGGTGAGGCTGAAGATGAGAAGAGCGAATTGTGCAGCAGCAACAGGAGGAAGAACAGCAGCAAAAGCAGCAACAGCAGCAGCAGCAGCAGCTCTTCTTCTTCTTCTTCTTCAGAAGAAGAAGAAGAGACAGAAGAAGAGACAGAAGAAGAGACAGAAGAAGTCGGTATTGCTCTGCAGCTGCCTCAAAGAAGCACTCGAGGCAGAGGATATAAAAAGTTAATCGGTGAAGATGAAGAAAGAGATGCAGCATTCTGGAGCCACGACACTTGGGCGGAGGAGACAGAAGATGAAGAGTACGATGCTGCTGCTGCTGCTGCTGCAGCACAAGAAGAAGAAGAAGCAGAAGATGAAACAGACAGCGACTTCGATGATGCAGAGACAGATAGCAGCGACGACGACGACCAGCAGCAGCAGCAGCAGCAACATAGCAGCAAAAAGAAAAAAGAAGACCCTTCTGATGAAGAGACTGCTGCGCAAAAACGGAGACAGAAAAAACAAGCAACAACATTTTATCAGCAAGCAATGAAGAGGAGAGAGCAGCAGCAAAAACGAAAGCAGCAGCAGCAAAAGCTCAAACAACAGCAGCAAGCAGCAGCAAAGCCATTCGGAAGCAGCAGCAGCAGCAGCAGCAGCAAGGATCAGCAGCAGGATATGACGCAGGAAGAACATCTGCTGCTCGCAGATAAAACAGAAAGAGAGACAGCAGAGAGCTTGGTGCTGCTGCAGCAGCACAGAGAGCTGAGGCAGCTTAATCATACACTTAAAAAACTAAAATATCCTGCTGCGCTGCAGATGCTTGTCTCTTGGTCTTCATACTTGCAGGTCGGCCCCCCTCCTGAGGAGACAGCTGAGGAGACAGCTGAGGAGACAGCAGCAGCAAATGCTGCAGCAGGCAATGCTGCAGCAGCAGCAGCATCAAATGCAGCACCCAATGCAGCAGCAAATGTAGCAGACGCACCAAATGCAGCAGATCATCAGCGTAAAGCGCTTGCAGCAGCAGCAACAGATCCAGCAGCAGCAGATGCAGCAGCAGCAGATGCAGCAGCAGCAGCAGCAGCAGAAGAAGAAGAAGAAGAAGAAGAAGAAGTCTATGAGAAGGTTTTGTTAATTTGTACAGACGGCACACTGCCCGATATTTATGATGCTGTACCCCCACCATGTGAGGAGACACTTGATTTTAACTGTCTCCTTTTGTCTTTTATATATTTTATTTATTTATTTATTTCTTTTGCTGCTGTCTCTGTCTCTGTCTCTGTCTCCTTTTATTTATTTTTGTCTCCTTTGTTTGTTTTTTTGTCTCTCTTTGTCTCTTCTTGTCTCTTTATACCCTTTCTCTGCCGCGTCCTGCTGTTTCTCTTGCTGCTCCTGCTGCTGCAGCAGCAGCTGCAGCAGCAGCAGCAGCAGCAGAAAGGCTTGACTGAAGGTTTACTGTACCTGCTCGTTCTTGCTGCTTCTCTTGCTGCTGCTGCTGCTGCTATTTCATCAGGTTTTAGTTTTTGTTTTTGCTGCTGCTGCAGCAAATGCTTCTGCTGCTGTTACTTGCCTCTGCATTTGTTTTATGTGCTGCCACGGCAGCAGCTGCTGCGACATCTTTTCTGCTGCTGCTGCTGCTGCTGCTGCTGCTGCTGCATTTGTCTTCCCTTCTGCTGCTGCTGCTGGTGCCGTTTCTGTACTAGCTGTATTTGATGCTACCTTTGTTGCTGCATTTGCTGCTGCGTTTGCTGCTGCGTTTGCTGCTGCTGCTGCTGCTGCTGCAGTGCCGACTCGGAGTGTATGTGCAGTTACTGGAGAAGCTGCTCGTTATTTAGATCCTTTAACCCGCTGCTTTTATTCGTCTGCAAGTGCATTTAAACAAATAAGAGAGGCCTTTCACCGCATGAGAGAGAGAGAGGTGTATAGACAGCTGCGAGAACTAGACGTAAGAACCTCTTCCTGCTGCTGCTGCTGCTTGGGCTGCTGCTGCTGCTGGTTTGGCTGCTTCTGCTGCGTGGGCTGCTGCTGCTGCTGCATGTGCTGCTTTTACTGCTGCTTGAGCTGCTGCTGTTGCTGTGGCTGGATGCATGCATCCGTTGCTGCTGCATGCATGCAGCAGCAAAAGATGCAGTCTGCTGCGAGTTTCTCTTCTCTTATGTCTCTTGTGCCCTTCTTCTTAATTATTTGCTGTTGCTGCTGCTTCTACTTAACTGATGCTGCTGCTTGTGCTGCTGCTACTGCTGCTTGTGCTGCGCTTGTTGCTATTTGTGTTGCGTAACTGGTCCTAATGCTTACGCTGCTGCTGCTTGTGCTGCTGCTGCTGCACGTGCTGCTGCTGCTGCTGCTGCTGTTTGTTGCTGCAGCAAGCTATAGAGACACAAGAAGAGAAGATTGCATATCTCTCGCAAGCAGCAGCGCGCGCTCCGACGGATTCAACTTGGGGGCCCCCAGCAGCAGCAGCAGCAGCAGGGGGCCTCGCAGCAGCAGCAGGGGGCCTCGCAGCAGCAGCAAAAGGTGGAGGCGCCCAGAAGAAAAGGAAGAGGGGAGTAAAGGCTTAACGTTAGGGTTTAGGGTTTAGGGTTTGGGGTTTAGCGGGCAGCTGCAGCTGCTGCTGTCATGTTGCTGCACGCAAATGCCTGACCCTTGCAATGAGGTGCTGCTGCTGCTGCTGCTGCAGCAGCAGCAGCAGCAGGACAGGCAGCAGCAGCAGCAGGAGGCTGCGGACACCATTCACCCTTTTAAAAGGAAGCGCTTCTGCTGTACATGCATGCATGCATGCATGCATGCATGTGCAGCAGAGGTGTGGGGCCCCACAACGCCTTTATTAATTATTATTAGGGGCCCCCTAGGGAGCTGCTACGCTAAGCAACCCCACCCATGCATAAACACCTTCATGCAGCTACAGTTAAATGCATGCAGTTAGCTGCATGCAAGCATGCATGCATTTTGCTGCTGCAGTTGCAACTTTGCAGCTGCTGCAGTTGCTGCTGCAGTTGCTGCTGCAGTTGCTGCTGCAGTTGCTGCTGCAGTTGCAACTTTGCAGCTGCAGCAGCTGCAGCAGACAATAATAGAAACTCATACTACCTTTAGTGCTGTTGCAGCTTTTGCTGGAGTTTGCTGCTGCTGCTGCTGCTGCTGCTGCTGCTACTGCTACTACTACCACCAGCGCAGGCGGTGGATGCTATTTTTATGTTGTTTGCTGCTGCTCTTCTTGCTGCTGCTGCTGCTGCTGTTGCTGTTGTTGCTTCTCCTGAATATCTTGCTGCAGCTCACGTCTTCCTTGCTGCAGCACTTCCTGCTCCTCCTGCTGCTGCTGCTGAGCCTCTTCTGTCTCTGTAATAAGTTGTGTCTGCTTCAACTCTGCAGGACACTCTCTTTCTTCTTTTATGCTGTTAAGACGCGGCTCTTCACCGTTTATAATACAAGGCCTGCCCCCCCATTGACCTGCAGCAGCAGCAGCAGCAGTTGCAGCAGATGCAGCAGCACATAGAACAGATGCTGCTGCAGATGCAGCAGCACAAGATGCATCAGATGCAGCAGCAGCAACGAAAAACAAGTGCTGCGGCAACGCTTGTTGCTGCAGCAGCAGCAGCAGCAGCAGCAACCCCACAACAAAGCCAAAACACCGAAGGGCAGCAGCAAAATAGCACCCCTTTGTAGCAGCAGCAACAAACCAGCAGCAACAGCAACAGCAACAACCGAAACAACAACAAGAGCAGCAACAACAGCAACAACAGCAACAACAACAGCAGCAGCAGCAACAGCAAAGGCAGCAGCAACAACAAAAAAAGCAGCAGCAGCAGCAATAGCAGCAACAACAACAAAAGCAGCAGCAGCAGCAATAGCAGCAGCAGCAGCAGCAGCGAGTCTGACCGCTGCGGACGACAGTTCGATATCTTCTTTGTATATTGTCGATGCAGGGCACGCGCCAGTCACTCCACTCTGTTAATACGCAATCCACTTGCTGCAGCAGCAGCAGCAGCAGCAGCATCAGCAGCAGCAGCAGATGAACCAGATGCATTAGCAGCAGATGCAGCAGAGAGACAGATGCAGCAGCAGACCCATCAAAGAAGCAGGTACAGAGGCAGCAACGAAGTAGCAGCAACAAAGCCACCAAACGCAGCAGCAAATGCAGCAGCAAACGCAGCAGCAAATGCTGCAGCAAATGCAGCAGCAAATGCTGCAGCAAATGCATCCTCGCCTTTCAACCGGAGGCAAGGGTTTAGCTCTTCTTAGGGTTTATTATTTGGCTTTACTACTATATTACGGATTCATGATTAGGGTTTAGGGTTTCTGATTAGGGTTTAAGGTTTATGATTAGGGTTTAGGGTTTACGATTAGGGTTTAAGGTTTAGGATTTGGGCTTAGGGTTTATGATTAGGGTTTAGGGTTTATGATTAGGGTTTAGGGTTTATGATTAGGGTTTAG